CCGCATTGAGAAAATAATGAACAAGTATTGGTGGGAGTCTAATGGTAATCGAGGTGGTAGAATTCGATGGAAGTCCTGGGGTAGTATGTGTTTCCCTAAGGCTAAAGGGGGGCTTGGTTTCAAAAGATTATCTAAGTTTAATGTAGCCTTACTGGCAAAACAAGGGTGGAGGTTGCTGTTAAACCCTTCATCACTGCCTGCGAAATTGCTAAAGGCTCGTTACTTTCCTCAGGGGGATTTTCTGTCTGCGAAAATAGGTGCTAACCCAAGCTACTGTTGGCGCTTTATTTTAGCAAGTCAAGATTTACTACGTCGTGGTTGCTTTCGCCGGATTGGTAATGGGAGGTTAACGACGGTATGGAACCAACCTTGGCTTCCTGATGATGCCAACCCTTATATTGAAACTCCAGTAGCAGACCATGACCGCCACATGAAGGTAATTTCTCTTATTCACTCAGGCTCTAATGATTGGAATATCGAGTTGTTGCAATCAATCTTCCTACCTCATGATGTTGGACTTATCCTTAAATTCCCGATATCTGTGGATTATGACGATGCGTGGTCGTGGCGTGGAGATGTCATAGGTCTATATTCGGTCAAGCATACCGTATTTTAACCAACATCTATAAACAGAGCCTGGATGGTTCCTGGAGTAAAATCTGGAAATTAAGAGTTCCACCAAATGTGCAAAACTTTCTTTGGCGGTGTGTACATAATGTGCTTCCTATGCTAATGACTTTGCATAGTAGAAGGGTAGATGTTGAAGTTGTTTGTCCTTTATGTGCACAGAATCCCAAAATAGTGGTTCATCTGCTATGTTATTGTGATAAGGTGATTCCTTTGTGGCAGGAGTTGACAAGCAGTACACCTCCTTCGGATGCTGATGGTTTTGCAAGCTGGCTTGTGGGCAATTTATCAAATCATGATGCAGCTCTGAAAGTAGCAGCGATTTGCTGGAGTATTTGGAAGGGTAGGAATAATCTCATTTGGAAGGCTCAGCAGTGGGATTACACTCATATTAAAATTCAAGCCTTACGTCTAATTCATGCATGGTCTGATTTGCAATAAGAAAGTATTCAACATGTGCCACATGATACAGACTTGAACATTATGGAAGGAGTCTCTAGAGTCTATGTCGATGCTGCAGTTTTTTAAGGGGATGGTCAAGCTTACTTTGGGTGTGTGGCATTTGATAGCAATGGTACTTATATTGGAGCTAAAAATGGCCATATCCAATGCCTCAACGATATCTTATTTGCAGAAGTGATTGCTATTCGTGAAGCTATGTCTTGGATAAAAGAGATTGGTATCTCTAATGTCGCTTTCTTATCTGATTGTCAGGTGGCATGTAATCTCCTTAATAGCTCGGGTGTGAACTTTTCATATGTAGGATGCACGATTGAAGCTTGTAAGGGGTTTCGTAGACACTTTGAAGTAGTGTCCTTTAATTATGTTCGCCGATCAGAGAATATGTGTGCTCATGTCATTGCTAGAGCGGCCTTTTCACAATCTGGTCCTCGTGTTTGAATTTCTTCTATTCCGTATTGTATCGAACATTTGATTTAATAAAAGTCTTTCGTTTCCTTTCAAAAAAAAAAAAAAAAAAAAGGTGTCGTCACATGGATGATGTAATTTTTATTATAAATTTTACTTTGAACTTAAATTTTTCTCAACAATAAAATTTCACTTAATTCACATTCAAGTTTTCTAATATGCAATTTGTTATTAAAAAAATCATGATGATAATACCAGTGGACCAAAATCAAACCTTTATTTTTTTTTGGTGCGTTAAGAGCCCTCAACGAGAGCGACTATCTAACCCGGAGGTTAGGCGTGTTTCTCAAATCAGCTTGAAGAAGGTACCGCAGACCATCCGGGGCATGATCCAGGAGAGTCGTCCCCCAGTCGGCAGTTTGACCCAAGTTCGCAAGCCAGTCGGCACATTTATTCCCTTCCCGTCTAATGTGGGATATCCGAAAGTTGGTGAAGCACCGAGCAAGGTCCAAGCAGTCTTTAGTGAGAGCACCCATTGGACTAGTATCATTAAAGTCTTTGTTCATGATGGCAACTGCCGAAGCTGAGTCTATTTCAACCCATAGATTACCTATCCCTTCACTCAGACAAAGCCGTAGACCCTCCCTTAGGCCCCACAGCTCAGCTGAGAAACTGTCCGTCAACCCAACTTTCGTCACAAAACCCTTGACCCAAGCTCCGAGGTCGTCTCTAATAACCCCTCCTGCACTGGCCAGCCCACTTGCGGATTTCATTGCACCGTCGGTATTAAGTTTCCTCCATCCCGGATCAGGCGGCTTCCACGTGATCCAATCCCAGCACCCTCGCGCCACTCCTTTGCGTTTGGACAGCAGATTATGGGCTTCGTATGCATAATCCCGTGCCATAGATGCCACCTGGTAGGGAGTAGAAGATTTGGCGTTGAAGATAAAATTGTTACGGGCTATCCAGATCCCCTATAGCACGTAAACAAACAGTGACACCCATGACTGTCCTGAAGGCATCAGGTAGTTGTTGTTGCAGTTTAAGTGCACCCAGTCAGTTGTCGGCAAGAAGCTGTGCCCTCTGGTCTCTCTCTTCGGCGAGGCCTGCCTCCAGACGTCTGCTGCAAAAGGACAGTCCCGAAAGATATGGGACGTAGATTCCACCTCGCCAATGCACCGTGGGCAAGTGTTGTCGTCGGTCAGTGAGCGTCTCATCCTTTCGTCATTTGTAAGCAGTTTGTTGTTGCATAGGAGCCAGAGAAAAGTTTTAACCTTTTCAGCACATGTAATCTTCCATAGCCACCTCCAGTCTGAGTCGTCATCTTCAGAACCTGCAATAAGGGAGAAGGCAGAGGAGACAGAGAAAATACCTGAGTTGTTGTCTGGCCAGCAAAGGGTGTCCGGAGTATCTACATGAATCGGGATCGGGATAGTGCGGATGGCATTCACCGTATGTTCGGGCAGGCAGCTGCTTAGTGCGTTGAAGTTCCAAGTACGGTTGGGGTGAATGAAGTCCTTTACCTTTGTGTTGGCACAATCATCCGGTATGTCTATCTCCATCATGAGCCCGAGGGGTTTGTTGGTCACCCACCAATCCGACCAGAAGTCCAAGGATTCACCATTACCTATTTTCCACTTGGCCCCAATCTCTACGATAGATCGGCCCTTGATGATGCTTCTCCAACCCCACGAAGCTTGATTGGGAATGAGAGCAGTAAAGAAGTTATTGTTACGAAGGTATTTATTTCTGATGGCTTGAACCCAAAGTTTCTCCGGGTTGTGAATGATCATATGTTAATTTTATCTATTAATTTGTGATAAAAATTAGTCAATTCACACATTATCATAAAGAATTGAAGCATTTATCACTCATGAAATTAATTAGCAACATAATTAATTTAAACAATCCGTAATATTTTTCAATTTCTATATTCTATTTTGTGAAATCTAACAGGGTGTTTGGTTAAAGGGAATTTAAATTCTCTTCCCACTTAATTCCCACATAAATCCAAAGGCCACAAAATTTCTTTGTTTGGTTGAAAGGAATTGCAATCCCATGGAAGTGGAATTGCAATTCCCCAATTTTCATGGAGTTAAAATCCATGTCCCCCTGGTATTTTAATTCTTGGGATTTTAGGAAGAAAAAAAGATAGTGATGAGTCAAAATTACCCCTCCATTTTTAACCTAAAATTAATGTTTGACAACAATAATGTACATTTTGGACTTTATACTACTTAGTCCCTTTCAATTCCTATGTATACCAAACATTGAAATTGAAATTCCCAATAATTCTATTCCTATAAACCAAACACTAGAATTTAAATTCTCACTTTATTCCCAGTAATTTATCTCCTATGGAATTCCAATTCCTTTCCCACGTAATTCACTCTCTCCAACTAAACGCACTGTAAGTGTTTAATTTGATTGACATGTAATGTTGATTAATTTATAATTAGTAAATAAATATGTAATGTGATGATATTTGCCACAAATCATATTATTATTATTATTATTATTATTATTATTATTATTATTATTATTATTATTATTATTATTATTATTATTATTAGATTATTTACCAAAAGTTGAAAAATGGAGAATTTTCTAAAAGAACAGAAAATTAGAGAGATAGAAAACTGAAAAATGAAACTTGTTTACTAAATTTACTTTAACAAATTCATATTTCATCTCCATTCTCCATTTTTCTTAGGATTTTGGAGAACTCATAAATAAACTTCTCCAAATAGAAAAATGGGAAGACACAGGTGAATAGTAGCCGTTGACATGTAATGCCGATTAATTTATAATTAGTAAATAAAAATGTAATGTGATGATGTTTGTCAAAAATCACATTATTTTTTTTGGGAGAAGTGTCAAATAGGGCCATGTACTATTGTCAAGTGCTCAATTCCCACCATGAACTAAATTTAAAGCTAATTAACCACACTTACCTACTAAATTTGTTTAATTAACTTTTTTTGCAAGTAATTGACTTTTTTTTGCAGGTTACCAATTCAATTATTAAAAAAATAATTTCAAAATAATTTAAAAATTATTAAAAAAAAAAAAAGAAGAAAGAATACAGCCACCAAATGTCCGGCTAGGACACCTGGTGGCGGTATTCTTTTTATTTTATTTTATTTTATTTTATTTTATTTTATATTTTATTTATTTTAATAATTAAATAGGTAACCTGTTATTAACCTGTAAAAAAAGTGAATTGAACAAATTTAACTCGTAGATGGACCTATTTGATACTTAATTTAGTTCGTGGTGGAAATTGAGGCAAATTATGTTGTGCATCGGTATGCACCATGCATGGTGCATACCGATGCACACGACGTCGTTTTAGAGTAAGGACACGGTATTTTATTTAAAAAAAAAAAATTGTTAACGGCGTTTGTTTCCCTTTGGTTTCGTTTCCAAGTTTCCAATTCGATCGTTGGCAGTTATTCACTGTGGAATTGGCATTCGATATCGCAATCGCAATCGCAATTTGTTAGATGGAGGATGGAACAGAGCAATCAAATTCTGCAGTTGGTGCTGGGCATTCGATTCAAGGTGTTTTGCATCTTGCTATTGTTTTTGCATTTGCTCCTTTTGCTTTTTTGTATGATTTTGTGATTCATTGTGATACAATTGTTTTTAGCAGTGGATATTTTTGTTTAGAATCTGCCATTTAGTTTTGTAAATATTTATATAAAATCACATAAGTATATATCCATAATTGTATAACAACAATTCCAGAATTTCAAAACAACAATTCCATAATTTCATAACTATATTTCCAGAATTGCATATGTATATATTCATAATTCGCTGGTACTCTGTTTTGGCAGTTTGTTGCGTCTGTGTATCCAGAATAATATAACTATATTTCCATAATAACATACCTATATATCCAGAATTTGTGGGTACTCTATTTTTGCTGTTTGATGAACTGTTTGTAATAATGTTCACCATGTATATATAATGTAGTTAGTGAAGGCATTGTGGATGGTTCAGTGAGTTCAGATCAAGCAGATGTAGACAATGATGGATCTTCATCAATTCCAGGTTTATTCATAGTGGTTTACCTTTTAATTAGCAAATTCTGCTTAGGAATTATATTTTAATGGAAATGGTTATTATTGTGTTGTATTTGCAGTTGATCAAGATTTGGTTGGTTTGGTAGTAAGTAATGTTGATGAGGCTTTTGAGTTGTATAACAATTATGCATATAGACTTGGTTTTAGTGTGAGGAAGGGTCATCAACGCTACAAGGGATCTACTAAGACAATTCAAATGAAGAACTTTTGTTGTTCTAAGTCTGGTTATAAGGCAAACAGTGGGGTTAAGGCTTATTCCAAAATTGACACAAGGACAGGGTGTGAAGCATTTGTTCAGTTTGATGTGGGTGATGATGGGTTGTGGACAGTTACAAAACACGAGAAAGTGCACAATCACGAGTTATGTGTGTTCAACAAGAGTCATCTACTTCGTTCACATAGGAGTGTCGGAGATAATCAGCTCTTATATTTACAAGGTTTGAAGGACAGTGGAGTTGCACTGGCGGATGGTATTAGGTTCCTAAAACACCAATCAGGGGGGTCCCCATTAGTTAGTTTCACCAGTAGAGATGTTTATAATTCAATGGCTGCTGATATAGTTAAGCGATTGGATGGAACGGATTCTAACTCTTTAATTGAAATTTTTAGGAGGAGGCAGTCTACCGAGTCTGATTTTTTCTTTGATTTTGAACTTGATTTGGATGCAAGATTGTGCAGTTTCTTTTGGAGGGATGGTCAAATGAGACGAGATTATGAGATGTTTGGGGATTTTTTAGTGTATGATACGACATATCGCACAAACAAATATGATATGATTTATGGCCCTTTCGTAGGGATGAATCATCATTGCATGAACGTAATGTTTGGATGCGGGTTTTTGATGAACGAGAGGATAGAATCGTTTGTGTGGCTGTTTAAAGTGTTTTTAAGATCTATGGGTGGCAAGTATCCGCAGTCTATTATGACATATCAATGTGCAGTTATGGCTGCTGCTATATCTAAAGTGTTTCCAACATCACGTCACCGTCTTTGCATATGGCATATTGGTGAGAATTCAAAGAAGCATATCAAGACGTTAAGGAATAATAAGGATTTCTCGGATATGTTTAACTACGCGTTGAAATACACAGCGACCGAAGCTGAATTTCAATTTTATTGGACAAGGTATGTTAGTAATTAATCGTTTTTATTGAATTATAGTGCATATGTATAGTGTTATTGGATTATATTTCATATGTATATAGTATTAGGTTTTCTGATCATTTAGTATATTTATTACAGATGTATATGAATTATGGATGTATAGTTTAACAATTATGGATGTATAGTACAGTAATTATGGACGTATAGCAATTGAACTGATTGGTGGTCACTGGAAATGTAGTTTATGGATTATGGATGTATAGTGTATCAATTATGGATATATAGTATTTCAATTATGCATATATAGCAGGTGAACTGACTGGTGGAGCCTGAAAATGTAGTATATGGATTATAGATATATAGTCTATCAATTATGGATATATAGTATTCCAATTATGTATATATAGCAGTAGAAATTCTGAGCATGTGATTTTGTCTTACCATTTTCAGGTTGGTGACTGACTATAAATGTCACAAGAATACTTGGTTAGAAAAGTTGTATGACTGTAGGGAGAAGTGGTGTCCAGCATTTAACAAGGACTATTTTTCTGGGGGTATTTTGTCGTCACAAAGGAGTGAAACTACAAATCATTCGATTTCTAGAAGGTTGTCTAAGACAGCTGGTCTTTGTGATTTCTATTCATCGTTTGTTAGCTAATCTGAATGGAGAAGTAAAGAGAATGGTGAAGACTTTCGTAGTGCTCAAGGGGTACCCGCTATGATGATGGAGCACGTGAAACTTCTTTCACATGCTAGAGAGGTATATACGATTGAGATATATTTTTTGTTTGAGGAACAATTTATGAAAGGCAATGCTTGTCATCAAGAAATGGTGTTGAATGATGGCCATCAACAGAAGTATCACGTGTGGCGGCCAGATATAGACATTACAAGGCATGAGGTTAGTTTTAACTCAGCGAACTTGGACATTTCTTGTAGTTGCAAGTTGATTTCTGAGTTAGGAATTTTATGTTGTCATTGTTTACGCATTCTTCATGTGCATTGTGTTTCTAGTATCCCTGACAAATATGTCCTTAAAAGATGGACTAAAAAGGTTATTGATGGTAGGAATGTCAACATTGATTCTATAGTTTATAATGTTGGCATCCCTCCATCAATTTGGGTGTTCGATATTAGTAGGAAATTTCAAAGATTAGTTGTTTCTAGTCATGATAGTAGTGTAGCTAGGAAACTGTGTGATGAAGCTGTTGATGATGTAAAGAAAAAGGTTGAAGCCGAGATTGGGTATGTGCATATTGAAGAGTGTGGTGTTTCATCTTCAAGTGGTAGTGTACAAAATCCTTCAAGCCGGAGATTGAAAGGTGAGCGTAATAAAAGGAGGAGTGGTGTTATTGAAAAGAAGTACAGTCTTGCAAGGGGGAGAAGGAGTGCTGCAAATCAAGCTGCATTGAGTACAAAGGGTGCTGTCCAGTCTTTGGTGTTGGAAGACATATCCAAGCTTGCTGGGGATGGATACCTCGTACATCCAAGTTCTTCGAGTTCAGATTTTGTTCAGTTTAGTAAGGGTTTAGATGACAATGTAGGTGTAGATTGAGAAATACATGTTGTTATCATTGATTTTATGCAATTATGGATTTATAGTTTTGTAATTCTGGATATGTAGTTTTGCAATTATGGATTTACAGTTATGCAATTATGGAGTATACAATTATGGGTGTATAGTTATGCAATTATGGATGTGTAGGTATGCAATTATGGAATTATAGTCATGCAATTATGAAATTATAGTCATGCATTTATGCATGTGTAGTTTCCATAGTGATGGAATTTGTAGTTACGAAATTATGAGTGTATAGTTATGCAATTATGGATGTGTAGTTTTGCAATTATGGTATTATAGTTATGCAATTATGGATGTGTAGTTTTGCAATTATGGTATTATAGTTATGCAATTATGGATGTGTAGTTTTGCAATTATGGAATTATAGATATATAATTATGGGATTATAGTTATGCAATTATGGAATTATACTTATGCAATTATGGAATTATAGACATGCAATTATGGATGTGTAGTTTCCATGCGTAGTAGTCATGAAATTATAGATTTGATACGTGAAAAACAAAAAAAAATTGAACTGCATAGATCAAAAGTAAATTGGTATTCAGTTTTTAACGTCATACATTCACAGAGCCAAGTCACATTGTTACTGTAGATCACAAAAAGATTCACATTGTTATATTACAGTCAACATGTTGAAGAATATTCATTCACTTCTTGGAGACACCTTTGGCCGCTTGTAGAACATTCCCCCTGACTGTGTTCATCCTCCACTTTATGAGATTGACAGCATATTTCGCTCGCAATTCGTACATGAAGCTTGCCTGCAAATAAAGAACATTAAGTAATTAGTCTTATGCAGTTTTTTTTAATGTATTTTGAAAGTATTATATGTATTGTAGTCTTACATTCAAGCGCATATTCTTCTTGAATCCTGGCTGCCAGTCTTGTAGAGTCCCTCGGTATGTCTACATATGCCGGAGTACATATATTCCGCAATCGGTGACATTTTCAGTGTTTGCCCATTCCAACTTAAAGTACTCTATTGCAACTTTTTGCAATTTCACATACAAGGAGTAGCACTCGGCCTTAAGGTAACCATTGAATGCTTCAATCTGGACAAAGAAGTTAGTTTAGTGTTGATAATGCTTTAAATTCAATATATAGGTAATGATAAGAAGGTCAAGGTTTTTTTTTTTTTTATCAATTTTACCAACAAGTGTGGGCAGTTGCCATATTTGTCCTTCTCTGAAACACCAGCTGGTAACTCCTTGTTGTCTATGACCTGTACTTTATGTTCTTTTATGTTGAAGCAGACCAAGAAGTAGTGACCATGGCGATGAACTGCGAAAAATATCTAATTCCAATTCAAAGTTAAAGCAACGTTAGTATTTTTTGGACATGATAAATTCAAATTGACATGGGTAATAGAACTTACCAAATCTGCATCACTGATGTCTAGGTTCCCAAAGCTGGTTATTTCATAGCTTAATCGCTCATTGAAATTCTTCCTTTTTATGTCAGCTGGGAGATCCTTCATCCACTGGTCATTGGGATCAATCTGCAGCTGTATACACAAATGCAGGAATGAGTATTCATAATTCATATAATATTCGTTGAAAATGTTAAAGTTATACAAACAGAATTATATAACTACACTTCCAGAATTGCATAACTATAGTTCCATAATTGCATAACTATAATTCTAGAATTACAAAACTATAAAACCAGGGGTTCACAGGTACACATCCAGAATTGAATAACTACACATCCATAATCTGAAAACTATATACTCATAATTTGAGAACACTTACATGTACTAGGGTGGAGAAATAGACGCTCTTTGTCTCCCCAACTGCACGGGATGTGTTTAGCAATGTAAAACGTATGGACCAGACATCTAAGAAGCTGCTCAGTAGCTCACCATTGCACAGAGTGGCAAAATCATCTCTTGACAAGTAGTAGTCACCGTATTGGAACAATGTCTCTCTACAACACAAAAAATAAGTAAACAAAAGAACATAAATTAATAAATAAAATTCATGTAAAATATGTGGATGGAAACATACCCTCCCGGGTGCTCATTTGAGGCTTCCAAAAATGCGTAGTTTGAAACAACTTTTTCTTTGGGAGTTGCATTATGGATGGAGCCTTTGTTCTTCGTCCAGTACGGCGACCTCAAATAAAGTGGGATGTTTCTGAATTTGCGCACTGGTCTTTTCCTCACAGTGACATCTTCAACATCTGATTCACTTTCTTCCATAGCTCTGTTGTTTACAAAAAACATAGGCAGTTCATAACTTCACAAGTATAGATCCAGAATTGTATAACTAAATTTCCATAATCTGTAAACTATATGTCCATAATTTGAGAACTACATATCCATAATTGTAACAATCAATGTCAATAGTTGAATAAGAACATATTCATAATAATCAAACTTAATATTCATAATTATTGACCAATTGAAAATCATATTCATAGTTTAAATCTACATAAGAAAGAAATAACCTACTTATCAAATTCATCAATCTCAGCAGCAGCTTGGGCAGCAGGTGTAGTAGGAGTGGTGGATTTTTCAAATGGAACTCTAATTAGCGATGGAGTTGCTTCCTTCTCCGTTGAGGTTGATACTCCTGCACTCCTCACAATGTTCTCCACCAGGGTGTCTAAATGTTGCTGTTGAGATGGTGGTGGGGTTGGTGTAGAGCGTCCAAGTAGCTCAAACGATGGGGGTTCTAGTTCCATTTCTTTTTTGGTTTTTTCAAAGGCCTCCACCAGAGAATCAACTGCTGCTGTGAAGCTTTCACTTCCAAAGAAGATGTCATCCAACTACGAGGCAGTTGGGCTAGAAGTCGGTTGAATTGTGCTTGCAGCACTCAGCATTGTTGATATTCCTGAAAAAACCCTCTTCATGATCTCAACTGGGGCCCCTTGCTTGCCAATGTCAGACATGACCTGACCGAATTCAAGGACATCTGTTGTAAGCCTCTGAAGCACATTTGTTACTCTGTCAACATTAGACAGAGGCGCAGATGGAGTTGGAACAGCAACAGGGCTGCGTATTGGTCTAGGTATTGCAGCAGGAGGAGGTGCAGGTCGGGGTGATGACGTTGTTGCAATGGTGGTAGGCCTTTGAAATCGAGGGATAACTTTCCCCTTACCAAAACCCCCTGATTTTATCTCAGCTGATACTCACTTTCGTACAAGCATTTTTGTCCAAGCTTTGATTGCTGGGAATGTTCGGTTGACAGCCATTCCTTTGAACTCTACCCGGTCAAAGTAGAACAGCTTCAAAAATGACAGAAGAGCACATTAAAGAATTGAATAACTACACATCCAGAATTGCATAGTTACACACGCATGATTGGATATCTATAATTCCATAATTGCACAACTACACATTCAGAATTGCATGACTACACATCCTTATTTGCATAACTATAATTCCATAATTCTAAAACTACACATCCAGAATTGCATAACTATAATTCCATAATTGCATAACTATAATTCCATAATTGCATAACTACAATTCCATAACTACAAAACCACACAGTGCATAACCACACATCCAGAATTGCATAATTATAATTACATAATTGCATAACTATAATTCCATAATTGCATAACTATAATTCCATAATTGCAAAACTACAATTCCATAACTACAAAATCACACATCCATAAGTGCATAACCACACATCCAGAATTGCATAATTATAATTAGAGTTAATGCCATCTAAGGTCCTCCGAGTATAGTGGTTTTGCCACGTTTAGTCCTAAACTTTCAAATTGACCATTTGTGGTCCTTCGACTTTTAAATTTAACCATTCATGGTCCAAGTTAACCACCAGTGGTCCTTCAAGTTTCAAAATCTAACCAGTCGTGGTCCTCTTAAAAGGACCATAGTTGGTTAAAATTTAATAGTTGAAGGACCATGAGTGATTAATTTGGACCACAGATGGTTAAATTTGAAAGTCGAAGGACTACAGATGGTCAATTTGAAAGTTTAGGACTAAACGTGGCAAAACCACTATACTCGGACTATAATTCCATAATTAAGAACAGTTTATGTATAATGGGATCTTACCAGGATGAATACCATTGGACCTCCAAAAGATCTTGTAGGACTGTCTTTGTAAAGCTCATATGCATCAATGAAAGACGTGTATGTGTATCGGCACCAATTCAGTCTTGAAATTGCGCGGACGTTGAGCAGTGACTTAAGAACTCGGTAGTTGGCATATCTTCCAGTGTTTCCTCGGAGCAGAGAGGAAACAGCAAACACGACAAAGTCTCTTTTGAAGGCATCACCATGGTCACCTCTTCTGATTATCTCATCAGGCATCTTGGTTGTTATGGGTGACCCTGCCTTGACATTCCACCTCTTCCTCCAATCAGTTAGGAGCTTATTATATGCAGCTGTAGAATTTTCCTCAGATTTTGTCCCCTCCTCAACATCCCTCTTTCCTCGGGGGATCCCCAACGTGTATTCAACATCCTCTTCACTGACATGCAGAATATCACCTTCCAATATAAAGTTTGACTTGAAAACATCAAATCTTTTCATAAGATACTCAACAAGTTGTGAATAATTGCTTGAGAACTGCAGATGTAGCAGCCCTCCAAAACCCATATCAACAACAGCATCCTTCTAATCCTGTGATAGCGTTGGACAAGTTCAAACATTTGTTTGGGACCCATCCGTGTGCTGAAGTAATCCGCGTCAGGGTTATGTACTTGCTCTCGTTCTGCCCTCTTTCTTTTGGCAGCTTCTGGTTGTTGCCTTGTGGAAGGCTCTGCAGAATCTTCTTGTGCAGGGGTGAGCTGAGCAGCTTGCGAGCTCAATACCGCTCTGGTTTTTCTCCTCTTCACTGAATTGACGAATTACCCAAGTGTAGAATCATCTCTCACATTTGAGTCTTCCATTTCTGCAAATAAAAATCATACAAAGTTTTGTTTTTTGTTTTTTTTGGTGGGTAAAGAGGAGCCTTAGAAGCCCCAGAAATTACGAGAGCCTTCTAGTTGCAACACTATTGGCATCCCGAGCAAGCAGAGTGCTCAAACCACCAGGAGGGAGATTTAGCAAGGTCGTCCCCCAAGAATTACTATGTCCCAGATTGGCTAGGAAGTCAGCACATTGGTTCCCCTCCCGAAGAACATGGCGGAGCTCGCAAACGTGAAACCCTTCCATCAAGAATTTGCAGTCTAAGATCAAAGTGTTAGCCTCCGGGCTGGAGCCTGAGTCGTTGTGTACTGCACTGACCAAGGCCTCCGAATCGGATTTCGCAAGAAGACAGTGAACCCCGTAGTTTTTTGCCATGACTAGCCCCTCCCGGAGTCCCCATAATTCAGCAATAAAGCTGTTTGTCACCCCTATTTTGGAGGTGAATCCTTTTATCCAATTGCCAAGGTGATCCCGTAACAGACCCCCTGCGCTGGCCATCCCCGAAGGCGCTTTTCTGGAGCCATCCGTATTGAGTTTCAGGGTGCCGGTCCGCGGCGGAGACCAGAAGACCCACGTGAGCTTCCCCATCATTGGACCACCATGTTTGAAGAGGAGTTGCTTGGCTACTTCCTTCTGCTTCATGGCACGTCTGTAGATATCCACAGCTGGGGTGGTGATTTGATTAAACACCCAATCATTCCTAGCTCTCCAAATGCTCCATAACATGTGAGGAAAAACCAGATTCCAGTTTCTGTTATTTGTTGGCAGAGTCAACGAGGTGCAGTTGCTTCTTATCCAATCAACCAACGGTATATGGGATAACGGATTGAAGGCGGATGGCGCGCTGCAAAGGTTCCAGCAGTCCACCGTCATGTCGCATACAAAGTTTTGTTAAAAAGTCTTGAATGCAGTTTGGTGCACAGAGTAAGGTTCACAGAGTACTATATCCAAATTTGTATAAATATAATTCCATAAACACACAGCTACACTTCCAGAATTGTATAACTACATATCCATAAACTCATAAATATACCCACAAGGCAAATTATGCTAAAAAGACTTGAATGCAGTTTGGTGCACAGAGTAAGGTTCACAGAGTACTATATCCAAATTTGTATAAATATAATTCCAAAAACACACAGCTACACTTCCAGAATTGTATAACTACATATCCATAAACTCATAACTATACCCACAAGGCAAAATCATGCTAAAAAGAATTGAATGCAGTTTGGTGGACAAAGTAAGGTGTACAGAGTAATATATCCCAATTTGTATAAATACAATTCCATAAACACACAACTATACTTCCAGAATTGTATAACTACATATCCATAAACTCATAAATATACCTACAAGGCAAATTATGCTAAAAAGACTTGAATGCAGTTTGGTGCACAGAGTAAGGTTCACAGAGTACTACATCCATAAACTGTATAAATACAATTCCATAAACGCACAACTATACTTCCAGAATTTTACAACTACATATCCATAAACTCACAAATATACTCATAAACTCATAATCATAATCATACACGTTCATAATCATATAACTATACATTCATACAATTTTTAAACAGTGCAAAATCGTAGTTTAAAATTACATAAACATATACTGAAAATTAATGCTTATTTTGTATAAATGCATCATATAACAACGTAAAATGCATAATACCTATTCTATGAAGAAGCTGAGCTTTGCTTTAGAGAGGAAGTGCTGATGAATGTGTAATGATCGGAGGCCGGCGACAATGGTGATGATGAATGTGTGCGAAACCACGAAAATGTTGAAGAAAAACTAAGGAAATGGAGATGATCGAAGCTTTTTGGGAGGGAATCGTGTGGGAGAACAAAGTGCTCTGGTGGAGGGAAGTGAAATGGAGTGGGAGAGGAAACGATCCAATAAGCTTTTGTATTAAAAAAAAAATAAATTTGATTGGTGGAGTGAAACGGTGCCACTAACGGAACCGTTACTCCAAACGACGTCGTGTGCATCCGTATGCACCAAGAATGGTACATACGGATGCACAGCATAACGATTGGGAAATTGAGCACTTCGCAGTAATAAATTGGCTTATTTATCACTTGGACCTTTTTTTTGTTCTAAGTGTACATTATATTGTAAAATGTATATTCAGTACAAAAATAATGTACATTTAGTATATTAAAAATGTACTTTTGTTATGGTCCATATAACATTTGTGTGGATCATGGTCCACATAATAATTTACCGTGTTCAGTGACCTAATTATACTTATTTTTTTTCAGTGACCTAATTACATTTTCGATTACGTTCACGATCAATTTCAACCTTATTCCAAATTTTAATTTTAACTTTAATTTATTTCCCAAGATGATGGGAGGGTGGGAATAAAAAAGAAAGGGGCGAAAATGAAATATGAATAAAAATAGGAAAGCAAGACAAGAATACTTGACCGAGAGAAAGTCGTAGAGGATTCTAGACTCTTCTTTTTATTGGCCGCATAAAATCAGCAAATCTGAACCGTCGATTCCTGCAACTTCAATAAGAGCAGGGGTTCCACATCTGTGCTTCTTCCTTTCCACACGCTCATAATCCTTCTCCTACCTGGTAGCTTCTCTCTCTCTTTTTCTCTTATTTATTCCCCGATCTTCTTTACTCGCAGATTAATCTGATTGATTGGTTGATTTGTTCTTGGGTTTTGTTTTGTTTTGTTTTTTTTTTCCTCTTTCAAGTTTGATTCGAAGAAGAAATCGGAGGAGAAGATGTTCGGCAGAGCGCCCAAGAAGAGCGATAACACTAAGTACTATGAGATCTTGGGAGTTCCCAAGAACGCTTCCCAGGACGATCTCAAGAAGGCTTACCGTAAAGCCGCCATCAAGAACCACCCTGATAAAGGTGGAGATCCTGAAAAGGTATAGACGTTTTTGTTCTTCTCCCTGTTATTTGATTTTGATTGGTAGATTGTGCAGTCTTAAAGCTGAATTTTTTAAATTTTTAGATTCAGATCTGTGTTTGAAAGTTTTGGTTTCTCTGATCCTATGTAGATAATTGGTAGAATTATGTGTTCTGGTTCACACTTGAAGTTGCTGTATGTATAGTAGTGAGCTTCTGAGTTTTGATAGGGAAAGTTGTGAACTCTTTTGTATGTTATTGTTAGTCTGAAATTGGTTGATTTTTCCAATTTCTCCAATTTCCAGAATTTTGCAGCAATGTATGATCTGGTTTATTCCGAGACTAGGGCTTACCACAATTTTCTTAATTTTGAAGCAATGTAGGGTTTGATATTGCGATCTGTCATGTTTTGAATATTGTTGTTAAATCACTGTTTTGATATTGTATCATCAAGGTATCATAGTTTTAATAGGTTGTTAACTTAACCTTGTAACATGTAGAATATGTATTCTTTGGTGGCTTAGTAATGTTGTAGCCCTCATAACTTGAATTGCATTCCAGAGATTTAAATAAAGTCAGATTCTTTGGTGTCCATTAGAATTGGCTAATGTTAGTCACTGTTTTTAGCTTCATTCTTTACTGTTTTATGTTTCATGGTGTCAGGTTGTTAGTGTAGTTTATAGTGGTGAAGTTGTTTAGTAATTATTGTGTTCCTCTTCTCTTTCAGTTCAAGGAGCTTGCTCAAGCTTATGAAGTTTTGAGTGACCCTGAGAAGCGGGAAATATATGATCAGTATGGTGAAGATGCCCTTAAGGAAGGAATGGGTGGTGGAGGTGGTATGCATGATCCATTTGACATTTTCCAATCTTTCTTTGGTGGCAATCCGTTTGGTGGTATGTTCATATTCTAGTAAATTATCCCTTCTTGAGTTCATATTCTAGTAAAGCTAATATGTCATCCTAAACACTATTCATTACAGGGGGTGGGAGCAGCAGAGGCCGAAGGCAAAGACGGGGAGAGGATGTTGTTCATCCTCTCAAGGTGTCTTTGGAGGACCTCTACAATGGGACATCGAAGAAGCTGTCTCTGTCCCGTAATGTGCTATGCCCAAAGTGCAAGGGGTAAGTGCCCAACAATGTGGCGTTTGAGACTTAATCATCATCTTATATTATTCATTTGTTCATTGTCTAATGATGTGCTCTTATGATATGACGACACTATATGTTTCAGTAAAGGGTCCAAATCCGGTGCTTCAATGACATGTTCTGGTTGTCAAGGTTCCGGAATGAAAGTTTCCATTAGACATCTTGGCCCATCCATGATTCAACAGATGCAACATCCCTGCAATGAATGTAAGGGAACTGGGGAAACTATTAGCGATAAAGACAGGTGCCCTCAATGCAAGGGTGAGAAGGTTGTGCAGGAGAAGAAGGTATTGGAAGTTGTTGTCGAGAAGGGAATGCAGAATGGTCAGAGGATCACATTCCCCGGGGAGGCTGATGAAGCTGTAAGTACATCTTAACTTTTTGTTGTTTTATACATTTGTTATAAACACTGAATGGTGCTGATAGATTCTTGTTTTTGTTCTCAGCCTGACACCATCACTGGAGATATTGTGTTTGTCTTACAACAAAAGGAACATGCTAAGTTCAAGCGAAAGGGTGATGACATTTTTGTGGAGCACACTTTGACCCTAACCGAGGCCCTTTGCGGTTTCCAGTTTGTTTTAACTCATCTAGATAATAGACAGCTCCTCATTAAGTCCCAACCCGGAGAAGTTGTTAAGCCTGGTAAGTTCCCTCCATCCAAGTAGCGCCAGCAATAGGTTAAATACATGAATGTTTATGACCCTACAAACTGTTATCCTGATTGTACCGGTTCTTGATTTTTCGTTGCACAGACCAATTCAAGGCCATAAACGATGAGGGAATGCCAATGTACCAAAAGCCCTTCATGAGGGGGAAGCTTTACATTCACTTTACGGTAGATTTCCCCGAGACACTAACCCCCGATCAATGCAAGGCTCTTGAGGCTGTGCTGCCTCCAAGGCCCGCAACAAAGATCACTGACATGGAATTGGACGAGTGTGAGGAGACCACTTTGTACGATGTCAACATCGAAGAGGAGATGCGTAGAAAGCAGCAACAACAAGCGCAGGAGGTTTACGAGGAAGATGAGGATATGCATGGCGGGGCTCAGAGGGTACAGTGTGCACAACAATGATTTCCTTGAGGAGTTGATGGCAGCATCCATCTGTGGAGTGGTGGGGGGTTAGGGGGAGAATTTAGAATCATAGATAATTGGTTTTGCACTTTGTTATTGGGTAATCCGCAACAGATATTTTTATATTTAATTTCATTGGTTGACCTTATTAGCATGCAAGCATAAAGAAATTGCAATATGATGCCATTGTTTTAACTTTTCTGCTGTGTACTCATTCTTTAATTTTTTAAAAATACTACATGTACCCTCATTTTCTACTCTCAACATTTATTTTCACAAACAATATCATTTGGGAATCTTATGTAGTTCTTCTTAATTTTTAGCCGTGATGATATAGCTAGGTCCATGAATAGAGACAGATTGATAGTAGGCTGACCCTGATAAATTCAACTTTTTTTAGGGAAATTAACTTGATAAGTTTGATGATTTGAACTACTTAAGGTTATTATTGATTTTTCTTTGTTTCACCATGAGAATTTATATATAAGAAATAAAATTTTAATAAATTTATTACAAAATAAAATGTTTTTTATAAAAATAAATATGACAAAAATTATTAGTGTAAATTTATTAATTATTTTTAATTGGAATTTAGAAATGGATTTAAATTGATTGAAAGAGCTTTCAAAAAAAAAAAAAAAATTGATTGAATGATGCCTATGTTTATATTTATTAATGTAAATGTGTTTACTAAAATTGAAATTGTAGAAATGGAAAGGGAACAAGGTGGAGATGTTGACCAGGCCTAAGGGAGTTGGTGGCATGGATTTTCATCGTTTACACAACATAAATCTAGCTCTACTAGGAAAGCAAGCATGGAGATTGATAATGAATCCAAACTCATTAACGGGACAAATCTATAAGGCTCGCTACTATTCATCAGTTTCGTTTTTTGAGGCCCGAATGGGCAGTAACCCTTCGTTTATATGGAGAGGTATTATGATGGAGGTTCAACACATAATGCAAGCTGGTTGTAAACATTGTATTGGCAATAGGCACACCACAATCATTGGTCGTGACCCTTGGCTCCCAGATGATGATAATCCATATGTATCAACGGACCTGCATGATTCTATTGCCATGGCACCTGTGGCATCACTACTGGATATGCAAAAAGCAGAATGGGATTATGATTGTATAAGGGATGTGTTTGAACAGAGAGATGTGCAGCTTATTCTCAATATTCCAATTAGTAGGAGACGCCCATCTGATTCTTGGTTTTGGTCAGCAGACTCCAAAGGGGTGTACACAGTGAAGTGAAAGTCTTGTTACAGGAAACTTTCTGGTGGAACTGCATGATTCAAGGCCATGGGCAAATATCTGGAGACTGCAGATTCCACCTAAAGTCAAGAGTTTCTGATGGCAACTTGCATCCGGTTTTCTACCTACACGTGATGCTTTCTCTGCCAAACGTGTTATCTGTTCAGCACTGTGCCAATTGTGCCTACAGACAGAGGAAACATCCATTCACATGTTTGCAGAATGTAGTCGAGCTAGAAGTGCGTGGAATATGCTGGACTTACCGATTATATCGGCACCACGAGGTAACATATCTGAATGGTTTTTCGAACATCTGCTATCTCTATCTATGGATGCTGCTTGCAAGTTTTGAGAGATTGTGGAAGGGGGTTGCATACAACATGAGTGCAATGCTTCACTCTTCCTTGTCTCTGCTCGAAAATTGGAGCAGTTTGAATGAAGTTGAGCAGTCTGGTCCAGTGCATGGGTCTGTCGAAGACAAATGGAAGAAGCCAGCGCAGGACCGTATTAAACTTAATACTGATGTGGCGTTGGATGCTAGTAGTGGCTGCATGGGAATGGGGTGGGTGATTAGAGATGCACAAGGCTTTTTCATTGCAGCAAAGGGAATGCGATATCATGGTAATTTTGGAGTTAGGGAAGCATAGGCTTTTAGCATCCGGGAGGCTCTTAGTTGGATTGCAAGGAGCTAAATCTTGGCCATGTTGATGTGGAGACTGACTCCCAGCTTACTTTCTATGCTTTGTGCTCTGAATCTTTTAGCTCATCTTTTGGTTTTATTCTTGATGACATTAAGGAAATTACATCCTAGATTCCTGATGCAATTTTTGGCTTTGCTAGGCGATCTGCGAATCGCGCTGCCCATGCTGTTGCTAGGCAAGCCGTTTCTATGACAGATTGTGGGGAGTGGTTTACCTCCCCTCCTGTTTTTCTTGTGAATGTTCTTGATGATGACTTAATGAATTAACTTTTATTTCTCAAAAAAAAAAAAAAGAAATTGTAGAATGTTAATTTAAAAATAGGAATAAGGGTCAAATAGGCCGTCCAACTACACACAAAAATGTAATTAGGTCATCGAACTCAAAAAATTACAATTAAGTCCATGAACTATGCAAATTAATGCAATTTCACCAAAAAATGACTTGTTTACCTGTTTTGTCGGTTTTAGAAATAATTTTTGAACTTTTATTTTAATAATTTTAAATAATAAATTATTTTAAATTTAAAAAAAAAAAACAGTCGGAGACGAAGAGCCCGTTCGTCTCCGGCCAGCCAGGAGACGAAGGCGATCCCTTCGTCTCTGGCCAGCCATGGAGACGAAGGGTTCTCCATGGCTGGCCGGAGAACCCTTTGTCTCCGGTTGATTGTTTTTTTTTTTTTTATTTTTGTTTTTTGTTTGTTTGTTTGTTTGTTTTTTTTTTTTTTTTTTTTTTTTGTTTTTTAAATTTTAAAATAAATTTTTATTTAAAATTATTAAAATAAAAGTTAAAAAATTATTTTTAAATTTGGTAACCGACACGTCAGCGTATCAACAGGTAAACAAGTCATTTTTGATGAAATTGTATGAATTTTTGTAGTTCAGGAACTTAATTATAATTTTTTTTTACTTGGGTGACCTAATTGCATATTAGTGTGCAATTGAATGACCTATTTGAACCTTATTCCTTTAAAAATATATAAAGTTTTAGTTTAAACCTGACAACTGAGGTTTAGAGTTAGGTCTTGTTTGAGAAAAAAAAACTTGATTTGTCCGAATCGATAATTGAATGGAATGACTTGATTGACATTCTAAGGGATTTATATTTATTTATTGTTTTAAGATCACTTTTTTATTTTTTATTTTTTTTTATTTTCCCACATTTCCACTTTAACGTGCGGTCATATGTATGTAAGAAAAAAAAAGGATTGAAATGATAAAGTGAAGGAGGTGAGAGAGAAATTAGTGGAGCTAAAAATAACGTCAATGGGCTCAAACTGAATATGTTGTTGATGAACAACAACGGGTCTGATATTGAAAAGAATATTCATGACGGTGAAATGTGCAACAAACTTGTGAAAAATTTATTTTAGCACAAACTGAAATTCCACAGAGTCCAAGAATAAATCCTAAGGCCCAACACATAAATAATTCCCACTGTTTCAAATCCACCCCACAATTAATGCATAAAAAGTTGCCATTTGCCGTTTGCCTCTCATTGGCAATTTATATTCTGCACCAGGGCGTACATTGCATTGTGCACCCTAATGCAAAACGACGTCGTTTCAGATTTTTTTTTAAAATTTCGCTACCCTGTATTGGCGGTTAATTTTCTTTAAAAAAAAATTTTATGTTCAAAAATGTACATAATTTTATACTAGAATACACATAATTGTATACATGAATGTACATAATTGTATAACAAAATACACATACTTTTTTTTTTTTTTTTTTTATTTTTTTTTTAAAGATAATACATATAATCTAACATAATACATAATATACATAAACTTTTAACATAATAAATATCAACTCTTAACATAATACACATTTCGGATGTACATAATTGTATAAAAAAGATGTACATGATTGTATATAAAATGTACATAATTGTTTAATACACATAATTGTATAAACAAATACACATAATCACGTCAACTCCCTACATAACTTCCCAAAACGACGTCGTTTTGGGATACGCGGGGCACACAATGCTACGCGCGTCGTGGTGCAGGTATAACGATTGTCTCTCATTCCCTCTCTGTTCTGTATTAACACAAGCCTCATTGCCTACGACACAATACTAGGGTTGTTTGAAAAATAGATGTTAGCTGATTGGGTTAGTGGGTTTGACTAGTTGATAATATTAACTGATTCAGTACGGACTCCCGGTTACCTTGGAAGATTATAGTTAAGCCCCAGCTGTAACACCCCCGATTTCAACAACTTTTAAAACTTAAATTAAAGGGATTAGCAGCCTAAACATCAACATAAGAAAAGCGGAAGCTAAAAGACAAGTATGGGAGGTTATGCCACACCTACACATCTATATGTGCACAGGCTAAGTCTAAACAAAACGTCAAAGTCATACTTATCAAAATCCACGGCTCACAGGCCAAAAGTCTAACTAAAACAGTCATAAGGAGCTACACTAACTAACGATCTGCTAGCGCACTCTCCAAGATGCTACTCAAAACCTGTAAAGCAACATAAAGATAGGGGATGACACCCGGTCAGTGAACATTGCTGGTAACCCATCAATACGCGTTAAATAGCATATATAAATAGTATAAGTCAAAACCATTTCGAAACGGGATACAGTATATATATCATTTCAAAAGCCATAGGGAGAAGTCAACTTCAAAGACTCATTCACACTCTCAAAGGAAAAGGAAATCAACATCCTTAAGACAACAACAAGACAAGAATAACACTGTAAACAATACAACCTGAGAGGTATTCTACTAATCACAAAGTAGAACACATCAAGGCAATAATACCAATTGCAACCAATACAACTCGAGATGTATTCTACTGATCACAAAGTAGAATACATCAAGACATGGTCAATAGCAAAGAAACACATACACACATTGGCAACTACATGTCACAAGATTCACAGTTCAAACCTTATGCCCTGTTCCAACCTTATGGCTACCCCCGACCTTATTTCAGTTCCAACCATTACCTCCGAGTGCTACCCTGTACTTCTGAGTCCAACCTTATGCATCCGAGGACCGTCGTCCCCCCTCCAACAACCTCCAACAAGACCACCTACATATGAGTACACGAGGGTACTATTCATTTCAATCACACAACCACCTACATATGAGCCTACGCTCAGGTCACACCACCAATTTCAATCATGGCCACATGAGGACCGCATCATTATCAGGAAGACTAAGGCCCCATAAACCTTAATCATGTTTCCATCAAATGGTACAACGATTACATACGTTCAC